ATAGTTTTTTTATTCACTAAGATCGGGGTCGTAATCGAAGAACTTTTCGGAAGTGTTTGGTCAACAGAACACTGCTAAACCCTCTTTATAATGTCCACATTAGTGTGACTTCTAAAGAAACAATGATCAATGGTCAGTGAACAGTGGTCAGTACCAATTGATACGAATTTCTAAACGTCCAATTCCTATCCACAATATCCGATTTTGTTGGCAGAACTTTTTCATCCAAGGTTGGGCACGGAAATACGAACTTTTCCGTATTAAAAGTGGCCTTGCTCTAAATTCCTAGGGGTCAGGGGTAGGTTTAGAGTTAGTAAGGTTGGGGTCGGGGTTAGGGCTAACAGGGCTATGGTTAGGATAGTTTTAGGGTCAGGATTTGAAGTTGGGACACAGGAGTAGGTGCCCCTGTTCCGTGCCCGACTTCCCTTCCGTAAGGCCTTATGGAGCTTCCGTCAGCAAATCACCACTTTTCCTTGCTACGCTTCCACTAGTTATTTAGGCACAATACCTGCCTGTTTTTAGCGCAAATGTGAACGCGCGAGACAACTTCTGGTGGACACCCCTGCACCATGCTGCCCACTCTGGTATGGTGGATGTAGTGGAACTACTTCTCTCACAGGGTGCTGAGGTCGATGCTCGAGCGCTGAATGGAGCAACACCGCTTTTCCGTGCGATCGAAACCTCGCGTGCCGCAGTTGTCAACTTGCTCGTTAATAGGGACGCAGATATTACCCTTGAAACGAAGCAAGGTGCGTTGACTTAACTTCCACTATATTGATCCACGCATATTGATTAGGTAGTCTCTCACGTACTAAAGACTGCAGAAATTGAAATACCCACAAAAATTTGTCAACGTAAGCTATAAAATGTGCGCTTATGAATACACTTATCCATTGGTTAGTAAGAAATCTACACCTCAGCTAAACTGTGAATCGTAAATTCGGCAAGTGTACGGTGTGTAATCCTCTGCGGTAGACCGCAGTTGGCTACGAACCTAATGCCCGCCAGGGTTATGCCTTCAGTGGAAAATCTCTGGCCTTCAGGCATTAAAGGAAAAGTCAGACGGAACCATACTCATAAGCCAAGTCCTGAAATCTTAATCCTAGCCTCCATCCCAAATTCAAACCTTAACGCAAGCCTGAAAATCATATTTCCAAGAATAACCCAACTAATCTCAATTTTAACCGTTAATAAAAACCTAACCTTGAGCCCATAACGGGCACCTTTAATATTGATGATGCTGTTGAAGGTCTAAATCAGCTTTCTGCACTGTCCCTTTCGCGACTTACTGCCAGTCAAAGCGTTATGAAGCACCAATTACCCAGGGGGTTACATACCCTGCCCTTACCGTAAAGCCTTCTTTTAGCATTGTTCGAAGCCAACCAAATTATTCCGCCTCTAAGGCCTAACGGGAGTTCTGCTGGCAGAGAGGCATGTTCAGGCGTGTGAGTAGTCGACTCTTCTGTTAGGTAAGGGCTCCTCATCCTCTAGCGTCCGAGAAAGTTGCCCGTTCCCGAGGTCGCAAGCTTCAGTTCTTTGCATGAAGGTTTAAGGAGAATAAAAAGGATGACGAGGATGTGAAGGTATAGTTTTTGTAATACTCAGTAAGGTGCGACCAGAAATTCTCCTAACACATTACTCAGAGGAACAAACTGAAAAATGGCCCTAAATTAAACGAGATATGAAAAATTCGGACGGCCTCCGTGGTAATACCAAGGTCTCTATTTCTGTATAACATGACAAGAAATAGTGTGACCGATTACGGATCAGCAAAATCAAGGCAAGACGACTGACGCGTGTCACGCCAGATTGGATGAGACGAATTTTCAATCACCAGACCGGAAAAGAGAAGCGAAGAAGATTTAGGAGAATTCGATTGGCAAATTGCCTAACTGTCCTTAAACGTCGTTGGCATATAACACCATCTTAAGGGGAATGAAAGACACCAACACTGGATGGGGCATAGTTAGGGAACGCCTTTAAATTGGAATTAGCTGTTTTCATGATGCAGGAAAAATAACATGGAACCGTAGATGATAGGAATGTGAATATGGCCATCAATAGATTCCAGGCGTAGGAGCGCAAGCGGCCGCTCTAGTGCCTGGGTTTACCAATTTTATCAAAAGTGACTTCAGAGTATCTGGGCAATATACTCAGGGGAACTAAACTACCTCAACAAAAGCGCAAAAAACACAGGATTGAAAGATAATCCCAGTTTATGCCAGCATTTTCTCATGATCGCGCTGAGTCATGATACAGAGATCCGCGATATCGGTGCACTTAAAGCACAGTTTAATTTGAAAATAGGTATAAAGTTAACTTTGCGTATTACATCTGACCGCAGTCATTAGAAAAATGTGGACTTTAGTTTGCAAGTTGCAAAAATGTCCGTGTAGGTGGACGTTATTGTGCAAACTACTCGACGGAGCGAGCCAAAATAACTAGTTTTTGCGTAAATTTGTCCGCTTTAACTGTGAAACCGAGATCTTTTAATAACTCTATCGCATGAATGATGGCCAGTTAAGATGCTAACCGCTTCCACGGCGTCATCTGGTTTCAGCTTTTTTCAAGACAGATTTTATACCTCCAGTCCTCTCTTTACTTGAATCCACGCATTTTTTATCGGTGTCTGAATGTACAAGACAGTTAGAAAAGGGTACCATGTCGAATTCTCCGCAGATCAGTAGAGGCAAATGATAATTGGTTAGTTATATTTAATCAGACGTGGGGTAACTGTCTAGACTTACTAGCCATCAATTACAGTTCATTTCGGACTTCACATTTCTCTACCCCACAAATGAACCCCCTCACAAATGGTCATACAAAATGCGTCACTCCGTCGATTTCCAACTCACAGACAGATGCGCATTTGCTGTAAGGTCGTATTGGACCGACTTAAATTTATTGAAAACTCATGTTTTTAAAGCTGTAGTCTGAGTCAATTACCTGCAAATTTTCGCCAGCCTCAAATAGCCGAATGCATAAGTTTGTTTTCAATTTACGATCTGTGTCAATGCGACCCGCTAAAATGGGCAGTTAGTTCAAAATCAAGACATTAGTTTCTTAAGGCTTTGGAAGAGTAAATAGGATGAATTTCGACAACTAGTGTAAATTATGCAACAGATTCTATGCTGTGCTGAAAGCCGCGGTAGAAGGTAATTTGTATTAACTGATTAGTGAAAAATTCTGACTTTCAAAAACAGATCTAACGTCAAAGTTAAAACAATTTGGTGCACCGTGACTAGGACATATGCGAACGTGTCAAGTGCACTGACACTTTGGCTCTCCAGAACCGCTTATCCTACGCGTTTTCTCCTATTGCCTTGCAACAGGTACGACACCTCTGGATGAGGCCTTTGTATGGGGTGATCCTCGAGTGATTGCTATTCTTATGGCAAAATCTGCGGAACTCAAAGCCAAGGAAACAAAAAAGTCTGCACGCCGCCCCGCTGTATGTAATTTGGCCAATTCTAGCAACCTCTGCTTCTAGAGGACTGTTCACCTTTCCTCCCTGTACTGAAAGTCAGCACTTTCGTCTCAAATAGGTTTTCAACCTATCGAAATTATAGTCTCAAAGGACACTGAATAGGTGGATGACAACTTGAGACCTGTGCTTTAAATAAATTTCTAACTGCGGATACGGCAAAAGCAGGGGATTCAGAAAATTTTGAGAAGCAAAGTTGTCCTAGAAGTTTTAATTTTCAGGTCTGTGTTTGTTCATTTTGGACGAGCATAGCGTATTTATCAATCAAATCCATTTTGAACCAGTGTAACCAAATCAATGTCATAAAGTAAATTTCTTTATAACTGACATTTGGACGTCTGAGTCTAAACTGGTACACAGTAAGCCGAAGAACGTGAGAACGCTTTGATCCCATTGAAAAGAGGGCTAACGTGTGTTCCGAAATCCTCACATTAATTGAAATACCAAATAATATACGCTCTTCTACAGTAATTTATAGATGCAGTTATAATAATAATAGTGTGTTTTAGGGTAATAGGCAATGCCCTTGATGACCCTATTGAAAACGGTACATAAGATGTAAATGTTAAATGTACATCTTACTAAAATTTTGTCCGTAACATATTTGTTCACGGAAAACTTTCACAATGCGGGACTTCGAAGGGTGCGGCAGGCGGTCTTCTCAGTGTACATATGAAATTTTAAGTGCAGTCATATACAATCAGCATAAAGTGCAGTCATTTGCATAGTTTGAGAGGAGGCATCTCATCAAAAGTCAGGGATGTGCTAATTAGGGATGAAATCAAGAAATGAAATTTATGACTGGCCGCAGATCGTCCTGTTGTGAAAGTCGTCGTTTATCGAATATCAAACGATCCAGCTGCCTTTTGAATACAGCGATTGTATCAGATGTCACTATTTCACTTGGGAGTGAGTTCCATGGTCGAACAACACGCTGACTGAAGGAAAACTTCCGATTGTCTAGGCGCGTTAAATTGATCTACATTGTAAGCTTGCAGCTGAACATAGAACCTTAGGTCTTACGGTCCCACTTTATAGTCCACGCGCGGATACTCTAGATGACCAAATATCTCGCTGAGGCAGTTGAGAGAGATCCTGTTTAAAGATTCTAGTAATGTTTAGTTATCCGCCATTTTCACATCCTCGTAGAACCTCACGGATGTTAAGTATATAGGCTACCCTCCGTCTGTATCCTATTGGTCTCGACGTCTGCTCCAGTTGTGAGTCAGCCCTGGTGCAATCACTTGTGTGAAAGCGCAACAAGGGAGATCAAAATAACCGTTTGGTGTTCACTTGGTTTTTTGGCCAACAATGCCCAAAGAGGCCCAAGAAGCTTCTAGGGTAGACTGATTTGCTGGATCGATTATTAGCTAAAAACACTTCTAGACTGTTGCAAATCAAATACGAGTGTTTGAAACTGAAGTATTTTATCTGGAAGGAGATTATCCTACATAGAAACTGCTCCCTCTATTAACAGACCTGGCTTAGAAACAGACCTACTTTAAAAGTTCTATAAATTCTTTATGCTTTTCATATAATATGTCATTATACTCCCCGATCGAAAAAACTAAGCCGACAAACCCCTGAAAATGCATTCGTAATTTCTATCCACTTCGACTGGACAGAGGTGTCGGTTAATTGCGGGGTAGGATGTCCACTTCGGCCATTTTATTGACCTCTATGCAATCATAAAATTAGAGAGTGACGTATATGGGAATTTCTTTGATTTGGCTTTGGTAAATGAGGGAGTACGTTCATTTCTCTCGAACTTCCAGCGTGGACATTAAACACGAATAATTTGCAATAGCTAGAATAGGTAAACTCGGTCCCAGTCATTCCTGTATTAATATTTTTAGGCAAAATTCACCTAGCAACGACTATCTGCTCGCCTTTTGGTTTCTGGGGTCCAAATGATCAGACGTTGTGTTTACTGTTTCTCTGCCACCAGTTTGACGGACTTATTCCGAAAATATGTTATTAATTAGTTTTTATCTTTGTTTTGATAGACCAAAAAAGGCAAGAAGGGAAAAGGCGAAAAGAAGCAAAACACCATACAGTTCAGTGTTGTAGGTCCAGATGATATGCCGAAACTGTTTGAGAAATCACCTTCGAGCAAAACTAAGGAGTTGTCTCAAATAATAACTCGTCACATAAATTTATCCGAACTGGAGACCGAGATGATGAGCTTTCCAGAACTTAGCCTTGAGGAGCGGCTGCGGAAACGAGAGGACGACCGGAGTCGCTTTGAATGGGATTCAAGTCTGCCCGCCATTGACAAACGCTATTTCAACAGAAATATTTCTCGGATTATGAGCGAGATGGATCCTCAACTGACTAATAATACCAGTTAGGAGTTGTTGCTGAAGAGATATTATTAGCGTTGTAGCTGGATTTTCAAAATGCATATTAAAGTTTCGCGGTAAATAAACCGACTTGTTTGAATATTTACCTACTTAATGTCAAGTTCTCTGACTTTGAAAATGACAAATAGAAAGTTGTAGACTTCTACTGTCTGGCCTAATTTTAAAATTTAAAGCTGCGTGGAGTTCAGACGTTCCAGCTTCCTCGCCGCCTAAGCGGAAAACGCTGTAGCAGATACTTCATGTTAGACCTGCTGCAACCATCTAGGCGACCACAGCAACCTTCGAAAGTCATCATCTCTGGTTCACTAAAAATTACGGGCTTTATACCTTAAATCTTTTAAACCGTATGTGTAGTATGGACGCAAAAGCATGCTAAAATTATAACCCATAGAATACAAGTAAATGCATGCATGAGTACAAAAAAGCATGCTAATTTCAAACGGACAAGCAGAGGAAGGGAAGTCAAGCTTGAGTGCACTGCGGAGTTTGCTTGATTTGGGAAGCCAGTAAATCTCTCTATGCCCAGTCCTGCTTGAATGCAAACTGCAAACCTACGGCATTACGGAGCATCCCTCACTATGATAAATCTTGTGTCCTTTGAAGCTTTTATGATGCGCTGGACGTCGTGGTTTGGAAGACGGCCGAATAAAAAAATAGCCTGGTTCTCGTGATCTGTGCCTTGTGTGTGCGTGAGGTAACTGGCCCGAGAACTGGGATCCAAACTCAATGGCTCATTCTTAATGTGGTCTCTATGGCACTCCCACCTAGATGGGATTCGGACCGCACCTTTATTCTGGGAAAACCTGGTAAATGACCGTAGGTGCAGGCCGTGTGCGGCATGCATAGAAGGCCGTTTGGCCTGTTAGCCACTGAGCTCACGCTTGCCCCGGTCGTTCTAACTCCGTGTTACCACTGCGCTCAGGTGGAAACAGCTGCCGCGCATGTTTTCTATCACTAAAAATTACTTCGCGCCCAAGTCACCATACCTGTGCCTACCACGCAGTGGGATACACTGTAGACACCATCGTCCATGACAACCCAACTGCGGAAGCGGTAGAAAAGCGCTCACCAATGATGTTACGGGAGGTGGTCCTCACAGTGTGCCGTATGGCTCGATCTCGAATTCGCATAGACTTTCATTCGATGACTAGTAATATATGCAGAGAAGGAGGTGGCGACAAAGGCAAGGGTGACTGGGATGGTCTCTTCTGTCTCTTTAACTGTCCTTAGGTCAAGATGACCTGGAATTCGGTCCGCGTTCTTTGCTTAGCGAGCGTTAAATAGGCCAATGCTTTCAGTGATTAAAAGGCTGGAATTTAAAGACCGTAATATATACCAAAAAGCGCACGGGGAGACTGGGGGACCTTAAGATGCGCCAAGCCTCTTATAGCTGCGTCAAGCAAAGGGACAAAATTGGCGAAGCATGCGCGTGGGCTGGCTGGTACCTGCGTTGCCTATATGGTAAACTATGCAATATATATATATATATATATATATGAGATGGCACCGACAAAGACAAGGGAGACCGGAATGGCCATTTTTGGCTTATTAGCCGTCATCAGCCAGTCATACCCAACCCCAAGTGTGGATCACTTGAGATTTGAAACCGGGATCTTTGGTCATGGAGTTTGACGCTCTACCATTGAGCCACGGGCCCGTTGTCCTGTCGGTTGTGATCGGAAATATTAATTATGACATCTATGCCATCTCATCTATGTCTACTACCAGTCGCTGTGCGACTGCCTGCGAGGGTTCTAGTATGAGCCCCAAGGCACAACGGAACGCGCATGTTCCGTATCCTGATCGGTGAGCGCCCACTATCATAATTAATATTCCCGATCACAACCGACAGGACAACGGGCCCGTGGCTCAATGGTAGGCTGTCAAACTCCATGAACAAGGATCCCGGGTTCGAATCTCAAGTGATTCACACTTGGGGTTAGGTATGACTTGCTGATGACGGCTAATAAGCCAGAAATGGCCATTCCGGTCTCCCTTGTCTTTGTCGGTGCCATCTCATCTATGTCTACTACTAGTCACTGTGCGACTGCCTGCGAGGGTTCTAGTATGAGCCCCAAGGCACAACAGAACGCGCATTTCCGTATCCTGATCGGTGAGCGCCCACTATCATACATATTTATATATGTTGTAGCTCAGAGGGGGTATGCATTCCGAGGTGATATAATGAAAAATAGAAGAGGTTCTTCGGAAGAGTCGAGTTGTACTCGAGTACAACTTGACTTTTCCGAAGAACCTCTTCTATTTTTCATATATATATATATATATATATATATATATATATATATATATATATATATATTATAACAGTGGGCGCTCACCGATCAGGTATGTTACGGAACATACTCGTTCCGTTGTGCCTTTGGGGCTCATACTAGAATCCTCGCAGGCAGTCGCACAGCGACTAATAGTAGACATAGATGAGATGGCACCGACAAAGACAAGGGAGACCGGAATGGCCATTTCTGGCTTATTAGCCGTCATCAGCAAGTCATACCTAACCCCAAGTGTGAATCACTTGAGATTCGAACCCGGGATCCTTGTTCATGGAGTTTGACAGCCTACCATTGAGCCACGGGCCCGTTGTCCTGTCGGTTGTGATCGGGAGCGCCCACTGTCATAATTGATATTCCCGACCACAACCGACAGGACAACGGGCCCGTGGCTCAATGGTAGCGCGTCAAACTCCATGACCAAAGATCCCGGGTTCGAATCTCAAGTGATCCACACTTGGGGCCACACGTGGCACAGGAGGCGTCTGGTTAAGCAGTGCTGGGGCTGTCCTCGCAGATAATCTCCTCCTCGTCACGGTACATGCTGCAGACTGACATGAAAGATTGAGAAATCCCTAATAGGAGCTTCTTAAGGCGGATGCAGTAACTGCCATACACAACGCTCTCACAGGATGACGTGAGTACAGACAGTGGCGGTGAAGCCAAAAAGAGAGTCGGAGCGAGATAGCAGGAATCTTTGCGGATATGACATCCCCCTAATATTCTGACGGTTGCGTTGAACACCATTTAAGAGGTGCAGAAATTGAGGTCAGATATGAGGATCAAATGTATGCGTATAAGTACTGCGGAAGGTAATCTGTCCTTGTACCGGTTTCTCTACGACATGCAAGAAGGTGCGCAAGTGGTGGGGATACCGCTGTCCTTCAAGTGATAATTTTGATTTTGATCGCGGCACGTCTCAAGAATTTTGGAGGATCGTAGAACGGAAACTGGAACTGGGTACCACGGTCTATCATAATGGTAGAAGGGGTGACCAGATGACAGTCCAAAGACTGAGGAAAGTCTTGACCACCGTCGTTATCAGATGATTGAAATAATCACCTCTGGCCATCGGATGAATCGGCTGACGCTGATGGCGAGGTAATAGCAGCCACTGGATAGAGGCAACAGACTCGTCGTTCCGAGCGAACATAGTTGAACCTGGCGCTCGGGTCGCGGAAGATGGCAGACTTTGCATTATTTTAATGGCAAGTCCCATTTTCCCCATAGTTTAGCAGGACATGAGTTCGTCCATTGAGATCCACGTGCATACCCGGCCAGACACACCTGTCGTTGGCCACCTTGCCCTTTGCCCGGCTTTTGGGCGATAAAATCCGTGTAAGGCGAGGACATTCTACTGCGCGGAGAAACAGAAACGAACATTGGAGACTGTTGATGTCGTCGCTGGTAATCAGAGTGAGAACCCACGGGCGAATGCTGAAGTTAACCTCGTCAAGGCGGGAGTTGGCAAGTTATTGTTATGCTGCCGTGAGATTTAACTCGAGCCCAGAGACAGTAGCAAAGAGTCCACTAGGGGCCGGGACGGTGTCTGCCACCTCAGTCCGTCCTCTGCAAAACTGGGCGGCGGATCTCCAGCGGATTGAGTTCGACGGAAGAGAACAGCATAGCGTAAGTGAGGATTTATGGTCGGTGACTGCTTCAAGACATCTGCAAAATCGGAAGCAACACTATGACCTATAGTAGATGAGTTAAGGACCATTGGGAAAAGTTAATACTCGCCTGGAATTCGTTCATTCTGGCTTGGCCCATCTTATTGTCCCCTCCTCTTTGATCCAACGTTATTTTTCGGACCGCAAAGTTCCCAAAAGAGTGACTAAAAACAATTTTGTAGATGATTTTTTGCAATTTGACTTCAGATCATTCGTTTCATAAATAGTGAGGTGTTCAGAATGGTGCGTTGTCTTCGTTCACGGCTTAATAATGGTTATAGCGAGAAGGTAGGTGGTTTTGTGATCGATGAGATTAACAAGGGCTTTATTAGCTCGATTTTAAGAATCTGATTAATGCCGGTATATTCGAAACACAACTTCCTGTTGCACCTGTTCCCAAGTTTTTATAATTGCATGATCTATACTTGTTCGAGAAAAAGCGTTCATTTACCCATGAAGTGGTAGTGTGTTGCTCATAATATACCGAAACAGACATTGAACACGCTGAGTATTTTTCCAACAGCAGTATTAAGCCTAAAGGCATTTAGCCACAAAAACAACTGAAATATTCACGAAATGAACGTTTTGGTGTCGAAATATTCCTTTCCATCAAGTATCAATATCAGAGGCAACCGACTTCTTACCAAAAGCATTTAAGGAATAAACTTTTCTGCACCCTCTTTGAAAAATGTCACTTAATTTGCAAATGCACCGCAGGCCCATGGCAAAAACTTCACTTTACTCAAATGTTAAATCCTTTTCAACTTGGTATAAATCCAGAAGGCCATAGTTCCGTATTTGGTATGTGTTGGCCCATCAGTTTTATTAACCCTGCGACCTCACCTAAGTAATCATTTTCCCTAGAAACTGTCTCCAATAAAGCAGTTTAGTGTTATTGTCATTCGACGCGTCCTGCGGGACTGTCTGAAATTGCCTCTTGGTTTATCTCCGAATGAACGGCTTATATGCACTTAAGTAACTCTCCCCTGGAACCATTGTCGCTTGAGAACCGCCCAGTTGAGGGAAG